CACACACACACACACACACACACACACACACACACACACACACTACGTGTACGCAGCACGCACCCTTGTGTAAATACTTCCTCCTATGTTCCACACACATACACGTCAGCGATGGTTGCCTCGCTCGTGCAAGACCTTGACTGTCGTCTGCCACGTAGACTGGTGACGTCATCCAGCACATATCGTCTGCCTACCACGCGCCCGCCCTTCTGTATGCTCGTGCATCCGGTTTTGCTTCATGACGCGAGCTAGCGCTTGCAGCTCTGCTTGTCGCTTGCCTGCCTGCTAGCTTGCCAGCCTGCCTGCCTACCAGCCTACCTTACCTATGTGCCCACCTGCCTGTATGCATGCCTGCCTATATGCCTGCCTGCCTGCCTATATGCCTGCCTGGTTGCTTGCCTATATGCCTGCTTGCCTGCCTGCCAGCCTGCCTGCTTGCCTGCCAGCCTACCTGCTTGTTTGCCTGCCAGCTTGCATGCCTACCTGCTTGCTTGCGTGCCTGCCTGCCTGGTTGTCTACCAGCCTGTCAGCCTGCTGGTTGCTGGTCGTTGCACTAGCCCTATCTACCGCGGCCCACCAGTATCTGTAGATCCACTGATACGCTAGGGATCGATATACACATTTGATCTTGAGGTTATATGGAATCCATAGGAATCCTAAGTTTATTCAATCTATCGCAACAAAAAAACAAACAAAAAAACACGCACACTCATTCCCGCACACGAGCGCGCGCCCGCACTCGCGCACTTCCACACGCCCCGCGCGCTATGCGTGACGCATGAGACATCGTAGCAAACATTACAACCACAGGCACTTCGAACGTTTCACTAGTAAAATGATGGTAAATAAACACAAAATGTATTTACTACCAAAGTCTTAATGTTTCTATGCAATCTTTCGCCTATTATTAACGAGTTTTCTCTTTATTCTTGTTGTTTGTGCACAGCGGTGTACGCGCGATGTACTTGTGTGTCACAGAGGAGCATTTGAACGGCATTGACAGGAAATTATCGGTAATAATAGGCGAAAGAGTGTAGAGAAACATTAAGATTTTGGTAGTAAATACATTTCGTGTTTATATTTACCATCATTTTACTATTGAAACGTTACAAGTACCTGTGATCACAGCTTCTCTTCCTATATCGTCTGCCTCACTATCATCACTCCGTCATTCTCGCATCTATAGCTGTTCATGTGTTGCTAAGCGCACGCCGCGGCAGCCCCACGGGCGCTTTGGCCACTCCGATACTAAAATGATGGCAAATATATACGAATAACATTTCCCACCAGACGTTTTTATTTATGTTTCATTTTATGTACACTCTATATGTACGACGTCGCCTGCTATAATTCTACGTCAACGCGGTGAGAAAAAATTGAAGCGTTAAAAGCTTTTAGACAAAAAACTTTTAACATTATCACCGCAACTAGTAAATATACGTTTTGTATTTGTTTGCGATCATTTCCTTATTGCAGCAGCTCGATGACGTGTACCCGCGCTGCTGCTGCCGCCTCCGTCACACGCCACCACAGAGTTCGGTCGTTCGTCTGGAAGGCAAATACATTCGCGCGCGAAAACCCGTTTGCGTACAGCTCGCTGCGGGCGGTATCAGTTAGCGTGCGCGGCCAGATATATAATATTCGCGCGCGCGCTCGAGTGTGTGTGTGTGCGCGCGCTACCGCGCCTCACCTGCGNTATATATACAGCTAGCTAGGTATATTATCAAGAGCTAATAATACCAAAAGGTATTAAGAGCAAAAGGTAAAAAGAGCAAAAGGTATTATTAGCTCTTGATATTATTCGCTTTTATTACACAAGTCTGGTATACATACGCAGCATTATCATATATAGGATATTATAGATAATAAATGCGAGCGTTATATAAATACCGACTGGGTTTGTTTATACGACGACGTAAATTATAATAACGCCATATGTCGAGAAAACAACTAGAAATATAATAAATACAAATAACCGCAACACCAAAACACCAAAATACAAATAACGGCAACACCAAGATAACAATTAACATGGTATATACATATGCCCGTATGTACATTACAGTCTATGACGGTAAAACGCGTGCACACGGGGCACGCACGCATGCCTACGTTACCACACAGGAACACACGCGCATACACATACACACTTACCTCTAATACAGCCCGTACGACGTGATAAATATCTATCTAGATAGCTCACAGTCCGTCTCT